CCCTTCCTTATATAGTTATTGTCACAGATTACATCTTTATACATGTATGCACATAGACATAGATCTATATTATCATTTTATTTGAGACATAGACATTTAAGACATTTAAGACATTATTATTGCTTTAATAGTTGTTTTTAAATCATATAAAAAATTGGAGTTACTAATTAGAAATACATGAATATTGACTTTTATATTTATCTATATAGTTATCTTTATCAGTGTTCTTTTATTTCTTTGTATGAATTGAGTTACTCCCTGGTATTTTTTTCTTTCAGCCTGAAGGACTCTCTGCAGCACTTTTTGTAGAGCAAGTCTACTAGAAATGAATTCTTATCTTTTGTTTAATTGGAATATCTTAATTTCTCTTTCTTTTTTGAGGAATAGCTTTGTTGGATATAGAATTCTTGCTTAACAGATTTTTTTAAGCACTTTGAATGTGTCATTTTATTAACTTCTGGCCACCATGGCTTCTGATGAGAAATTAGCTGTTAATGTTTTTGAGAGTTCCTTGTACATAATGAATCACTTTGCTGTTCTCAGGATTCTCTGTGTCTTTGAACAGTTTGAGTGGAATGTTTCTAGGTGTGGATTTCTTTGTGTTCCCCCTACTTAGGATTTGTTGAGATTTCTTGGATGTGTATATTCATGTCTTCTATCAAATTTTAGAAGTTTTCAGTCTTTTTTTTTTTTTTGCCCTTTTCTCTATTCTCCTTCTTGGACTCTTGTTAAATGTATGTTGGTATACTTGGTGGTGTCCCACAGATCTCTTAGGCTCTGTTCATTTTTCTTCATTTTTTTTCTTCTTTTTGCTCCTCTTATTGGAAAATCTCAATTGACCTATCTTCAAGTTCATAGATTTTTTTCTTCTACCTGCTCAAATCTGCTTTTGAGCCCCTCTAGTGATTTTTTAAATTTCAGTTGTTGTATTTTGCTTGTATACAGCCTAAAGCTCAGCCAGAAGTGAGAATTTAGGGCCATCTCAGGTGTTTTTGAGCAGCTACTCTGCCTTGGGCACACACGTGTGGGTCTTCTGGTGGGAGCATTTCAAATCCCATATTCCCCAAAGCATCTCACTTCCCAGTTTTTCCTCCTAAGTTTTTTTTTTTTTTTTTTTTTTTTTTTTTTTTGCGGTATGCGGGCCTCTCACTGTTGTGGCCTTTTCCATTGTGGAGCACAGGCTTTGGACGTGCAGGCTCAGCGGCCATGGCTCATGGGCCCAGCCGCTCCGCGGCATGTGGGATCTTCCCGGACCAGGGCACGAGCCCGTGTCCCCTGCATCGGCAGGCGGACTCTCAACCACTGCGCCACCAGGGAAGCCCTCTCCTAAGCTTTTTGATGTGTCTATTGTTTACCCCAGCTGCCATTCCTTGCCTCATTTGGCACCTGCTGATAAATTTGCCCTTAAATGTTTTTGACAAATCTCCTGAACAGTTGCCTCTCTGTACTGGGAGAGATCTGAGCTTGGTAAAATAAAGGTAAGCCCTTTACACAGTCTGTCAGGGAACCAAAAGACAGGCCAGAACAAGCAGCCACAGTTCTTGGAGGACAAAGTCCACTTTGCTTACTCTAACACTAGGAACCCACACCAGTAACTCAGATTGGCATCTTCATGACCCTTACTGCAAATTAGCTACCTTTTGCTTGACTAAGTGTTTGACTGATTGCTGGAATCCTTTGACTAGTTTGAAGAGTTCAGATTAAGTTGATTCTGACAGGTTTTGCTGTTTCTCTTCAGGGACAGGCCCTTGGAGTTCCCTACCCTGCCACTTTCATTGATGTCTCATCACATTTTTTTCAATTTTGACAAACATATTATTTTCATAGGTTGTTGTTGTGGTTTTGGGGTTTTTTTTTAATAAAGGATGACCAGGGACTTCCCTGGTGGTCCAGTGGTTAAGACTCTGCACTTCCAATGCAGGAGGCACAGGTTTGATCCCTGGTCAGGGAACTAAGATCCCACATGCTGTGTGGCACAGCCCCCCCCCCCAAAAAAACCCCAAAAGAATGACCATATATCTCTTCTTTACAGAGGTCATCCAAGTATTATGATAATTCATGTCCAGCTTGCCAAAAAGCCATATCACATTTAGAAGGAAAAGAATTCTGGCAGTTGAACCCTGTATATCTCCTGATGTCAACAGTGTTAAAGATGGCCAGTTCACCCATAGTCCTATCAAAAATGTTTCTCTGGAAGCCAGAGAGATAAAATGTCTAATTTACTGTGTATGTGAGATGAATGTTCTAACATTCAGGTCTCTAGTAGAAATACAATGTAAAATGTGCCGTAAAAGCCAACATATATCAGGATCTTTACCATTAAAACTGCAGTTGACCATATTCCATTGTAGTTATGTGGATGTTTTCCACATAGTTTATCAGCTCAATAGGATTGTTGCAGTTGTTCTCACTGCCTTCCCAAAAGCTTTAGCCCTTGTGAAGTGGCTCAGATGAAATCAACTAACTGAATCTAAAGAATCAACATAAGAGCTATGATTCTGGTGCAATATTTTCTGGGTTTGAATTCTGTTTTCCTCTATTTGCCAGTAGTATGAACTTGAGCAAATTACTTCTTTTTTCTTCACTTACCTCATCAGTAAAATGGGCCTACTAACAACTATACTTATAGCTTTGTTATGAGAATAAAATAAGTTAAGATTCATTAAGTAATTAACTAAAATTTAATACATACATAAGCTAGTTTGAGGTGCAACTTGTCTAGAGCATGTCTTTTAGATAGGAAAACCTCTGAGTTTTTCAGTTCTGTCCACTTAGCATGAAACTAATAAGTTCTTTCCACTTATTAGTGAAATAAACCTACTGGGTAGATTCTCAAGAGGAAAATAGGCAGTATTTCTGTGTGGCCTGAGAGGCCCATTTCTAAGTCAGGAGAGAACTGTCTATATCTACAGCTGGATGCAAAACAAAAGCATAAAGTTGGAGAACAGCATCATATCGTGTGATGGTTTGGGGGACAAGGAGGATGGACCAAGATAGTGGGATATAAAGCTAAAAAGACTGTAAAAGACAGATGATGAAGGTTCTTGGGCATTACTGAAGGGTTTGAAATAGGAGAGCCATCTGGCCACATTCACCCTTACAGTATATACTGCGGCAGAAAAATGGAGGATTGGGGTCAGCTTGCCAAGACTGGAAGGAGGGAAATGTCTTAGGTGACTGTTACGTAAGTCATAGATGTTCCATAATGAGCATGTATTAATTTTGTAACATAATCAAATACATACACTCTTATTTTGTAAGAAATCTACTTTTGGAATTTCTCTGTGATATAGTCCCAATTTAATAAAATCTAAAATTAAAGTCCCAATTAGGGAATGAGAATTCATTTGACACTTGGCCTCTTTGCTCAACAGAATCTCCATCACAGAGTTTCAGTAAATAATCATCCTTTTCTGCTACATGCTACCTATCATTTAAGTATAAGGAACACATCAATTCCATTGAGCAAATGAGAATGGAAATTATAACCATATTACCTGCGAAACTTACTCTGCTAATTTTATAGCTCCTCAGCCCTCCACAAGTCAGAAAAATATTCACACCTAAGTTGAAACTTTAAAGTAGAGTGATTTCCTGGAGCAGTAAGCCCCAGAAAATTGGTAATGAAAGTATTGGTTTATAAAAGAGAGCTTGACAGACTAATTGTAGTCTCACTTTGCCTTTTTCCACCTCTGTTTCTTTAACAGCTATTTAGTCCCAGGTACACAGACTTTTGTTATGTTTTGTTTTTTTAGTCATTTGAACTTTTTAGTAAATCAGTTTTAGGAATTAATTGAACAAATACTCAGCTAAAAATCAAGATAAAATTTAATAAGCAACTTTATCCTCATTCTGCCCCACTATGAATGTTAGTTTTTGCAATAACTTTTAAATTTAGTGAAGATCAAGTTTTTTTGTTGTTTGTTTCTGTTTTTTTTGCGGTACGCGGGCCTCTCACTGCTGTGGCCTCTCCCGCTGCAGAGCACAGGCTCCAGACACGCAGGCTCAGCGGCCATGGCTCACAGGCCCAGCCGCTCCGCGGCACGTGGGATCCTCCCGGACCGGGGCACGAACCCGCGTCCCCTGCACCGGCAGGCGGACTCCCAACCACTGCCCCACCAGGGAAGCCCCAAGATCAAGTTTTATACCCAACTTAACAGTGTGTTCTTTGTTATTGTCACGTATTTTTTACTGGCCATGTAAAATGATGTTCTCTGAGTTTACATGTACACACGGGATTACACAAAATTCAGCTTTAATATCCACTTAATCCAAAGTACTTTTCCTCAACTATTGTGACCTTTTAAAATATATTTAAAGTATGTTAGTAATACATAAATAGTGGGCAAATTTATTTCTGCAAATCAGACTATGGAAACTGGACAGCATTGAAAATAACCTATAAAGTACTAAAAAAAAAAAGTTAAGGACAATATACATAACTATTTGTAATTATAATTATTTTGGGTAAATACAAAGTTAACTGCCTTCAAATAGGCATACTTTTTTGACATGTGAAATTGAGATTCCATAGGTTGTTGCTTCATGGTAAATTCAATAGAAATAGCAATGAAGCAACCACATACGGTAAGCCTGGGCTTCAGACATTGGCTTTAGGATTCTCAGATAAATAAAGACCTTCCTTGAAGGCACACGGATGTATTAATTTTTAATTTGTTTCTTTTTGATCTCTTAATTACTGAAAAAGATTTATTGGTTAATTTTAGGAAGGCAAGTGTTTGAAAAGTTTTGCCAAATACTGTCTTCTTTAAATGAATGTATGGTAATGAAAAGTTAAGAGGAGAGCCAAATTAGATTGAATAATTGTTCAGTCATGTGGGTCAGGCTAGTTGCATAGCCTGGTTGTTAAGACTGATTGCTCAAATTACATTGCCTGGGGTCCTGCACTTGGTTGGCTGTCTTCTCAGATCTTAACAAGGTTCTGGGAATTTCTTTTACTGACAAAGTTTGCTTTGTGTTTTTCCCCTCCCCCCCCCCAGGATGCTTCATCTGCAGACATCAGAAAAGCATATCGTAAGCTTTCACTAACTTTGCATCCAGACAAGAATAAAGATGAAAATGCAGAAACTCAGTTTAGACAAGTAAGTGAAATATGCTGTTATTGTATATGTATTTTTGTGATAATTTATAAATAAATGTTTATGGTAGAAACAGTAACCTACACGTAGAATATTTCCATTTAAAATGAGATTGTAGTTTCAAAATATAATGTATACGTATTTATTCAGTTTTTTACAAAATATGCTTTTACCAACATTTTTTTATATTAGAATCTCTAAATTTTTGGGGGGTCATAATTGTCATAATTTTCTTGTCTAAATTACAGTTTTTGCTTTTAAAAATCACATGTTAAGATAATTATTAGTTTTGCATCTTTCAAAAAGATTTTGGTATCAAGCCTTTTTTAACCTCTTAAGGTGCTACCAAAACCGTAAAATGTTACTTATAATTAAGATTTTATCTGTTCATTGTATATATGAGTGCATGGGGTTTTTGCATGTGAATTATAGTGTGTTCGTCTCCCTAAGTGATTTCCTACAGTTGAGATTATTTTTAAAGTAATGCTTTTGTTTTAGTTGGTGGCCATTTATGAAGTTTTAAAGGATGATGAACGAAGGCAGAGGTGAGTGTTCATCTGCTTTTGAATTAAGACGTTATACTTTGATGTCTCAGTTTATAAAGGAGAGAATTGTCTCGTTAAACATTTTATTATGTTAGTATTTTATTTTCATTCCTTTCAAGATTGCATTGTTTTTAAAATGTATGTTTATAGGATAGTTAATTTCTATTGAAAATATTCACTAGGTTGATTCAGTACTTACAGACTTCAGGATCATGGCTTCATTAGCTAATATTTTTAACATGAGTATCTATGCTCTGGGAAATAAAATTCCACTTGACTTCAAACAAATGCCTATTCATTTTTGATATATCAGTAATTGCTCCTATCTGCGCCTGGGGGGCTTTTTTCCCCCCTCTGTTTCTTAAATGTTTTGCAATTAGGCGATTAGTGGTATTCAAGTTATTACCATTTCTTGGTGTTTCCTCATCCTCAAAATAATAAACCCAATTTGTGAGTGAGAGAACAGACTTGTATAGATCTGTAGAAGATAGGAGTAGAAGAAAAATATTTGCTTCTTTCTCCTGTTTCTTTTGCCTCCATCCCTTCCCTTCTTCTGCTCCAGTGATTCTGTGTTTAGGGTCGAACGTCAGAGAAGAGGCAGGCCCCTCACTTTGAGACTTCTCTGGGCCTTTTTCAGCAGAGTAGTAATGTATTTATACAGTGGTTTATATGCTAGTGACTTAAGAGGAGATTGCAGAGAGACCCCCTTCCTCTGCTCTTCCGCAGAGTTTCTTTAAGTCAGACCCACGGTAAGAAATACATTTTGCATCATGCCTCAGGACACACACACACACACACACACACACAGACACAACTGAAACAAAAATTTGACAAAACACTTCTTATTGTGTGTGAAACAGACTGATGTTTTCTATTCTAGGCTAGTCTAGACCAGTCTTCTTTCTTTTTAAAAACAATGCTGATTGTGGTCCACTAAGTTGGTTTCAGGAGATATTAGTGAGCTACAATCTGTAGTTTGAAAACAGTGCTTTACAGTAAGAGTACCTTTAAAGAAAAAAGTAGGTATTTGAGATTTTAGGCTAACGCCAGCCTGAATATCTGTATCTCTCTATGGAGGCTAATATATCTTAAAAGACAATCCAAAAAAGTATGCAATGTGACCTGAATCTTTCTTCAAATGTATTACCTGGAATTATTCTGTATCCTACAATGTCAGCTGCCACTCTTGGTTCTCATCTTAACTCTTTAATTTGAATACCTCAGTTTGTCAGATTGCAAAGCAAGGACTCAGTATATTCTCTTGAAGAGTTCTTTGCTTTATAATAAGGGGCTGGCATTGGTCCAGATACCATAGCAGACATTCCTCTGGTTTGAGATAATCCATAGTGTTGAAAGAGTCCTACGAGTGTGTTGAAAGAAGTGTTGGTCATTCTGTGCATATTTTCTAGTTGGTTTCTCTCACTGAGCCCCTAGTTTTGTTTCACACATCAAGAACGTGTCTGTAAAGATAGCTTTATTTAGTCTCTCTACATCTTTGGCATCAGATTTTGCCTTTTTGTTTGTTGTTATTTTAAAAGTCAGTAAACTTTGTAACAATTTCTTCCAATTACCGAAATTATTTATATCTTTTCAGAACAAATCACTTCTCATGTAAAAATTGTTTCTTCATTAACATAGACTCACCTAACATTTTCTTTTTAGGATTAGTTTCCTTTGCATTTATTGTAGAGTGTTAGTAGAAAAAAATGGATCTGACAGTTACACAAACAGCTGTAGTATTTATACCCCTTGAGGCACAAGTAACTCTTTGGTAACTGGTTTTCCTTGAGGCAAAAGTCTTAGCTAATCAAGCTGAGAATCATTCCTCTAAAGCTTGCGCCTGAGGCCGGGTGACCTATGAGTATTTAAACATGTAGGAGAAATGCACCTCTACAGACAATTATCTAATGTTTATAATTCCTTTAGAAAAAACAAAACAAAACATAGTTTTATCTTCGGAAAGAAGATTGTCTTATACTGTTATTTAAAAGTGCTCTTTGGTATCACAATTATTTATTATAAATATTCATTAAGTAATGTGTAACCTTCCAGGAATTTGTAATTTGGAAAATTGTCATAGACATTTTTATCTATTTATTTCCCTTACAAATAATTGTATTTTCACTGAAATCAGGTGCATTTAAAAAAATTTGGTAGAAAAGAGAATAGCATTGAAATAGGTAAAATAACAAACTGGGTAACCTTTTTTTTTTAAGGAATAGGCAAATTTTATTTTTTTAAACAGCCTTATTTAGGTATAATTTGCATACCATAAAAGTTACCTATTTTAAGTGTACAATTCCATGATTTTTAGTAAAATTACCTATTTTAAGTGTACAATTCTATGATTTTTAGTAAAGTTACAGAGTTGTGCAAACCACAACCAGTGTTAGACCATTTCTGTCACCTCAGAACATTCCCTCAAGTCCATTTGCAGGCATTTCCCATTCTGATCCCAGCCCCAGGCAATCACTGATCTCCTTTATGTGTCTATAAATGTGTTTTTTTCTGGACACTTCATATTAATGAAATCATCTAATATGTAGTCTTTTGCATCTGACTTCTTTCTATTATCAACATGTTTTTGAGGTACATCCATATTGCAGCATATACCAGTAGTTCATTCTTTTTTATTGCTGAATAGTATTCCACATTCCACTTTTGTTTATCCATTCACCAACTGGTAGACCTTGAGGTTGTCTCCACTTTTTGGCTATGATGAACAACACTGCTGTGAATTATCACACACAAGTCTGTGTGAATGGATATTTTTCATTTCTCTTGCGTAGATTCCTAGAAGTATAATTGTGAATAAACTTTTAAGCTTTTTTTTCCTCCCAAAGGCATAGACTATAGCATGAAAAAAGTTTTCCTCGTTCACGTAAGGGAGATAAATATAGAAGTCTTCTGAACTCCTTAGGTAACTTGATTATTTTAGGAAATAGCAGCTCAGCTATGTTCTGACATAAATTTCTATCCAAGTGCCCTGAGTGTTAGCTGGAATAAAGTACTGAGTAGATCCTAATCACTACATATATACACTAGATTGTGCTTTAGTAATATTAGTATATTTACTTTTGTTTAAAATCTATTTTAAAATTTTACCAGTATTCTGCTAACCCTCTTGTGCAACTTAAAATTTTTTTGTCTATTTTATGGTACTATATTTGTAAAAGTTCAGTGTATTTTTTTAGTTTACGAAGTAAAGTCACATTTTATATACAAATCCAATGGAAAGTATAGTTTTCTCAGCTTTAATTTGTGAAACTTTTACAAATCCATTACCTCCTTATTGTAAATTTGATTACAGGTGTGTTTGAATAAAAATAAACATTAACCTGAGAATAAGAAATCTATCTTAGTACCTTCCCTAATTAGGAGATATTATAAGACACATATTATATACATTATATAAAGTGCTGTGTACCACAATTTTTGGCACATATTTACATTTTATAAAGGAGAGTAAGATCAATTAATTTAAGCTTGTTTCCTGTTTATGATCTTTGTACAATTAATTTTTATTCTTAAGTTTCAGTATGTGACCTAAGTAGATGTTGTTACTCTTTTAAGCTAAAAATTCTAACATTTTACAATGGGAGATTCACAATTTAGGCAAATGCTAGAATTATTTCAATATTCATTTTCATAATATACATGTTTTCTATTTTAATTTCATAGTTACTATTTTATTCTTCAAAGCATGCTAATAATATTTTAAATTTACATACTTTCTTTTCTTCTGGTAATTTAAACATTTTTAAATTTACTTTCCAATGTTTGTATTAGGCTAAATATATTTGATGAATTGCAGGCTATAGAATGGAACTCACATAATTATGTAACCATTATTATGTTCATCATGGGCATTTTAAGAAAATCAAATGATGTAAACATGTAATAGGCCATATGTAGAATTGATGAATGTTTTAATTTCTAATTAATAGCTCCATATGATTTTTTACATTAGTGATATTTTTATCATAGAAATTTACTTTTGTATTTTCTTGTAATATTGTAATTACTTTTGTAATTTCTTGTAATATTGAATTTCTTGTAATATTGTAATTACTTTTGTAATTTCTTGTAATATTCATGCCTATTCTGATTTTAACAAATTGTTAAGAGCAGTTTGTATGAACTTAATTATTTTAACAGTGTTATGTGTTAAATATAGAAAAGGCATAACAGTGATGTTTTAAATTTTATATGTTGTCAACACAACATTTTTTTCTTAAATAACTTATGAATATAATGTCTGTGTATATTTTAAGAAATATCTTTATTTTTTCAGTGTTTCAGGAAAGCAGTGATTTATCTTTTAACAGCATATATTCTAAAAAGTGAACTATAATAGAAGCTATCTTCCCTTAAAATGGCCAGTCGTGTGAGCCATAATGTTCATTGATAGTAAAATCAATAGAGCATTGATTGTAAGCTTAATCCTTGGAGACTGTTGTTTAGAGTGGCAGACGTAGCCTAGTAAATACCTAGTTTTGTTTAATGTGTTCAGTGCATAAGGTTTTGCTATCTTGAATTTAGCTGTGCACTAACAATTTATATGTGGGGTAGAAAATAGTAGCTATTAACAGACACATAGCATTTCAAAGATGATGGTGATAAAATATTTGATACGAGATTCGCAGCTATGAGCTCAGCTGGGTTTTCTTCCAGTACAGTTTAGATCTAAAACAAATTTAACACTTAGCAATGCTCTTAAGGAATTGTCGCCACTTTCTTAGATGTTCTTTATTAATAGCCACACTTTCTACTTGAAGTTATTTCATGGGAGAGATTAGCTGAAAATAATTATTTTTATATTCCGCCTTTTTTCCTCAACAAATCTGAAGTAGAATGTAGATTCAGAATAAATTCAGGACTTCATTCATTGGACTTCAGATGTTGTAATCTTGCATTATACCACTTGAAACCTTTTTGCCAATCCATTTCTAATCTAAAATGAGTCAGTTTTTACAGAAATAGATTTAAAGATAAATTTTTTGGACAGGAATGATAACTTTTGATGAAATCGTGTTATTATGTCTTGATATTAGTGTTCAAGAATTGCTATGTAAATATTGAAAAGGAATATTTAACATCAAACTTTGGCCCAGCTACTACACAGCCATATTTTAATTAGCAGGTTCTTGTATACTGCACAATTTGCCTGCCTTTAAGAGTTTAGTACCACTAATGTCCTTTGCTTTGAACATTGGTTATTCTGATCTGCCATTATTATTAATAATCTAAGTTGATCCTAAAAGTCACGTTTTCTAGATAGCCTGATAAAATATATTTTGAATTTATAACCAATATTTTTTGTACCGAAAAAAGAAGTTGCCTGTAATAAATCCTCTGGTTTATTTTTTTAAGCATATCTCCAAGGTATCAATTTAATAACTATCAAAGTAGCTACTGCAGTTGTTGCATTTAAATTGATTTACATGTCAAGACTGGCAGTTTAGCAGCTGCGCTATTATTCCTAGATCGGTCAATTTACTTGAGAAAAACCTACTACTGAGTTCTACTGACCTGCCTGACAATATAGGCCCTATTTCTATTCCTGTAATTAGGCCTGCGACTAACTCAGAATATTTTTAATTAAAATATTTTGGTCAATGTGTTGCACCAAATTAGGCCTTTCAGTGAAGACTTAATTCTGGAAATAGTGTGATTAGAATATTTAATGAGTTGTGTTGAACTAAGATTAACAGGTTGTGTGTTTTGAACATTGTGTGTGACCATTTTGAGTTTTACAATCATGTTATTCCTGATTTTTAACCTTAAAAATATATGCCTCAATAACTGTCTGATGGGTAAATTTAAATTCAGTTGAGATTTCCTTCTAAAGAAAGCAGATTTAAAATGCATCACTAGGAAAGCTGTTATTTGTTATGTTCTTCCCTTTCAGCAAAGCCAAAAAAATGAGGAAATTGCCACTTAAATGTTTACAAATAAACAGTTTTATCGAGAAATTGGTTGTTTCCACATCTCCTAATTTGGGAATTTTTTATTCTCTAAAGGAATGTGACCAACATAAAGTTTAAAAGTGCTCATTTTATAGGCTCTTTATGTCATTAAGAAGCTTTGATAAAATGATAAATATTTCAACCTTGAACCCTTGTAAAGGGGTGGAAATAAAAGCACTGACTAGAAAATTTATCCTGATTTTGATTCCATTAATATATAATTCATGGTAGCAAATAGAGCTCTTATCTTGATTTTCTCCCGTTGAGAGCCTTCCTCTTGTTGCTGACTTTCATGGCGGGGCCCCTCTGCAGCCTGCAGTGGAGAGGTGGACTCTGGCTCCTTCAGCCTAGCTGCCATTACAGGAGTCACATCACTGGGGTTTAAACACACAGGGTCTGGGATCCACAGCAGCTCACTGTGTGCCTTTTTGAAGGCTGTCTGTGATTGGATACAATGTTTTGATTTATAGGCCGTTGTAGTGCTGATAATCTATATAAATGTTATCTCTTCTGGAGAAATTCTTTTCTCTTTCCTCTTTTTACATATAAGTACAAATAAAGTTTTTTGTTTTTATTTTAAACTCCCTATGAAAAACTGTTATATTTGCTGCTGTAGGTATGATGATATTCTGATCAATGGACTTCCAGATTGGCGACAGCCTGTATTCTACTACAGGCGGGTGAGAAAAATGAGCAATGCTGAGCTGGCATTACTTTTGTTCATAATTCTCACAGTGGGTCATTATGCTGTGGTTTGGTCAATCTACCTGGAAAAACAACTGGTAAGTACTGGTAATAAATCAAATGATCTAGCCTCCTTAATTTTATATGGAATTTCAGACATTTATTTTTTCAACTGATAAAAATTTCAACTTTTCTGTATATACTCCTTATTCTAATATTTTTTGTACTCAGCATTTAGTATTTGATATGTTTCTATTTCAAGAATCCATGACATAAGAAGAAAATGTTTCTTTTTAAAAATGTGGCATTTGAGTTTGTTACAAAATTTTGTGAAGGCTCAAATATCTAGCTGAAAATTAGAAGGTAGAGCTATGTTTTCTTAATTGTCACCTTCCAGATATACATATTTTTTATGTAAAATGATTTTAGAAATTTTTGTGTCACAGGCCCTTATATAAAGAATGATTATTTTAAAAGCTTTTAACTCAGTAAAACTTGAAATGAGTATAATTTTATAATTTCAGAGATCAGTTGGTTAAAAAATATTACATTTTTCTTAGCCTAATATACTACTACATAGTTTATTCTGCTATGGGCTTTTATTTATATGCTAAAGATAAACATATTTATCAGTATTCATGAATTAGCATCTGTTTACTCATTCTTTTTGAAGTGACATTATTAAAGTTGGATGAATGAGAAAAAGTAAGTTGAATGCCTTCTCTTCTTAGAAAACTTTGATTGCTATGGAGATACACATGACTGACAGTGCTTTTTAAGGACTGTCATGTGTGTTTAAGGACTGGTTACCATGGCAACAGTTATTGTTAAAGATTGATGATTTTACTTAATCATGTTGGACCCTACATACATTTGCATAAATGTTCTTCTATAATGTTTACCCTTCACAGAAGACTCTTGATAACATTTGAAGAGTACATGTTAATGATAACCTGTAACCATAATTTTTTCCACATTAAGGATGAACTGCTTAGTAGAAAAAAGAGAGAAAAGAAAAAAAAGACAGGTGGCAAGACTGTGGATGTATCAAAACTTGGTGCTTCAGAAAAAAATGAAAGGTGGGAGCATATAAAAACATTTTATAATTCACAATTGTTTTAAAATATGTCTTTAATGTGATTCAACTCCATATGTATATCCATTTCAGATATGCTAACATTTACATCTGTATTCAGTTTATAAAAGACTAATAATGTGCCATAGTTTATGAAACACATTCTAATCTTAAGCAAAAGTTCTACAGGTTTTTTCCTTTGTAAAGTGTTCATATATATTTACATAATTAAACCCTTGAATTCTTGTTATTTGAAAATTTTATACTGAACTTTAGAAACAAAGTATTACTAGAAGAGTCTATCACTGTAGTGTTTAGCTCAGGAGTGACAGTATGTAGAGAGACAGTGATATGCAGCACACTCAAAGAGATACTACCATTTCTTCTATTGATTCATAGGAAGAAATAAAGGGTTTAAATAGTTCACACAGCAGGGCAGGAACTGGATCAATGTGAGATGGAGATCAGAGACTATTCTGCCTGTCTTCTGTTCTGATGACATCAGTGAGTAATGCTTCAGTGAACTGCAAATGACATTAATTTTTATGTATTGGTTTGTTTATGCTACAGTCTTCATATCTGCTTGTCAGCACTTGGGGACACTCTGATGATGTTTAGTCTTTTACCGCTGAAGTAATCATAAGGTCTAAGAATTCATTTTGCCAAACTGATGAAAAGTCCAGGTTAGAAACAGGGCTTTTGTTTCTTTATCTTTATAACTTGATTACAAGTCCCCCTCCCCAAAATCTTAGCCTAGATTCTCTTATTTATCATACATAATTGCATTTGTTGTACTAATATATTTTATGATAGAATACTTCAGGTTAAGTGATAACTGTCATAAATACTTCATTGAAAAACTTCCTTTGTTGAAATAGCCATTCAAAACAGAATTCATGATTATTATAAAAGTATTTTTGTCTGTCCACTTTCTTTCTATATTTTGCTTCTTTATTTTTGCTTTTTGTTTTCCCTGTAGATTACTGGTGAAACCACAGTGGCATGATTTGCTCCCCTGCAAGCTGGGAATTTGGTTTTGCCTTACACTAAAAGCATTGCCTCATCTAATCCAGGTAAAATGTACCTCTTTCTTATAATATTAGATGCTTTCACTTTAATTATTCATGAAATAATTTATGTCTGCTATGTGAATGCTGAATATACAGTAGATGCTTCCTAATGCTGATTGAATGAATAGTATAAACGTAATTTAGAATAGTTCTAAAATTTATTTAGGTATCTATTCCTATAACTATCTCTTTTTTTTTTCCCTATAACTACCTCTTACACTGCTTTTATAACACCTTAGAATTCCAAGACACTAAAAAAAAAGGAAAAAGCAATACTATCTTTTTTTTTAACACCTTTATTGGAGTATAATTGCTTTACAATGTTGTGTTAGTTTCTGCTGTATAACAAAGTGAATCAGCTATATATATACATATATCCCCATATCCCCTCCCTCTTGCATCTCTCACCCTCCCTATCGCAGCCCTCTAGGTGGTCACAAAGCATCGAGCTGATCTCCCTGTGGGATGCAGCTGCTTCCTACTAGTTATCTATTTTACATTTGGTAGTGTATATATGTCAATGCTACTCTCTCACTTCGTCCCAGCTTACCCTTCCGCCTCCCTGTGTCCTCAGGTCCATTCTGTACTTCTGCATGTTTATTCCTGTCCTGCCCCTAGGTTCATCAGAACCTTTTTTTTTTTTAGATTCCATATATATGTGTTAGCATATGGTATTTGTTTTTCTCTTTCTGACTTACTTCACTCTGTGTGAGAGACTCTAGATCCATTCACCTCACTACAAATAACTCAATTTCATTTCTCTTTATGGCCGAGTAATATTCCATTGTATATATGTGTCACATCTTTCTGATAAATTATTATTTTTTTATGGTTTTCAGTTTTATAATTTTTACTTCTTTTTTTTTTTTTTTTTTCGGTACACGGGCCTCTCACTGTTGTGGCCTCTCCTGTTGCGGAGCATAGGCTCCAGATGCGCAGGCTCAGCGGCCATGGCTCACGGGCCCAGCTGCTCCACGGCATGTGGGATCTTCCCGGACCGGAGCATGAGCCCATGTCCCCTGCAGGCGGACTCTCAACCGCTGCACCACCAAGGAAGCCCGACTTCATTTTTTTTAACATCTTCATTGGAGTATAATTGCTTTCCAATGGTGTGTTAGTTTCTGCTTTGTAACAGAGTGAATCAGCTATACATATACACATATCCTCATATCTCCTCCCTCTTGTGTCTCCCTCCCACCCTCCCTATCCCACCCCTCTAGGTGGTCACAAAGCACCGAGCTGATCTCCCTGTGCTACATGGCTGCAGCAGTACTATCTTTAGGACAGATATAAAAGCAATAAAAATTTAATCATTTAAGGTACATCCAGTAAAAAAGAACAAAGCTCAAATAGTTTGTCACCATATTTTAATAGCATATAAGTACATAGTGTGAAAAAAAAACACTTTACATAAGCATTGGTACAATTAAGCAAAAATATATATAGCTTTCCATTTTATTTGCAACTTTAAGAGGAGTCAAGATATTTTGTCTTAAACTGGTAATCAAAGTTTCTGTTGCTAGTCAGTCTTCCTCAAACAATGGAATGTACATATCATATTTATATGGCAATTTCTTATTTTTTTATATTTAGCATACCAACACATATTCTATTATTTCTTTGCTAATTTTAATTGTTGCATCTGGTTAGAAAATTTCAAACACATAAACAGAATATTTGAAATATAATTGTTCTGGTGTACAAATTTTGAGATTCTTTGAAGTTGTAATTTTGGAGGAAATGTCTCATTTCAGAAAATACAAAGAGCAAGAGAGACAGATAATTTGTTTAATTCTACTCACCTTTTTTCTTGAAACAGCTGTTTTTCCTAATTGTTTAAGGAAGTGAATGACTCCAACTTCTGTACTTTATTCCTCTTTTTCCTCTAATAATGAAAATTTTATATTTGAAGGGAAAATGAACTAAAAATTACTAGTGTGTTTCTTTCTAGCCTTTGAGAAATTATTTACCAGTTCTTTTGTCAAAATTGTTTATCTTAGTAGTTATTGCTTACAGAATCATATATTTTATTTATAGTTAATAGAGACAATTGAATTTTGGTAATTTAAAAGCTTTTGTTTTTAAGTTGTTTATTTGAAGTTTTATGTTGTTTATTTGAATAAAAATCCACAGTCCTCATATGCTACGTATGTAAGAGTTAATAAGAGAGGGGAAGGTATATTTATCATACTGGTATATTTATGAGAAGATGTGACAGAAAAATATTTTAGGACATGATTTCTTATATTTTTTAAAGAATGATTATTTTTTGCCGGCTTTAGAATCTGTGCAGTAGGCAAACCAGAATGTAGATGAATTTAAAAGTATAGTCATGAGACAGTATAAATAAAATATCACATAAAATGTCAGTCTGAAACACTTCTTTGTAATTTTAATCTAAGTCATTTGAAACAAAGTTTACTTGGTAAAATTAACATATTTCTTGATTAGCGTGGAGTAATTTGCAAAAACAGAATCAATATATTAAGATGGCTTCGATTTACAAGTTATTGTTTTGCCTTATCACAAATTTGTAGAAAGCTTACAAAAATAAGAAATTTTATTAAAACATTTTAGCCTCTTCAGAAACTTTCTTAAACTGTTGAATCAGTTTGAAGTTTAAAGTTTCTCTCGTGTTCACTAACACAATAATATAGTAGACTCTGATACAAATTGTAATAGTGAAAGTATTTTAGATTGATAAGCATATAGCTTATACTTTCATAAGCATCAGCAAAGCAATACTGAATAGTTGCTATTAAGATTAGATTGTCTGCTTCTTTTTGTCTGCTTTGACCTTTGTGATAATTTATCATTCATAAAATCGTGTAATGTGAATACATATTCCTTATCTACAACACTGAAATTTTCATGTGACACTTCTATGAGATCTTCTTAAGTAAGGTATTTATGAAATTTAGAGGAAGCCCTTTTTACCCGAAGTAGTCTATATTAGTAACTGGCACAGTGGTGATAGAAGAGCCCTACTAGAGCCCTCAATATTAAAAAAATGATACACATGACCTTCACCATTTTCTTCACCACTCTTGTGATACAGGGCCATTGTTTTATTTTTAAGTAGGAGTCCTTTTTCTTGCGTAAACCATACCTATCATCTTGGTTTCTTTAAGGACGAATTTCCAGTTGATTTCTCTAAAGAAGAGTTAAACTATACTCTTGTGAAGCAATGTAGTTGTGTAAGCCTTAGAGATTTGTATGATATCCGTTGCTCAGTCTTTCATCATCGACTTATTTACACCTAGTTAACAGCATTTTTAGCAACTCTTTCATTGAGCTTTCCAAAGCATCCACTTGGTTTTCATAGAAACAACTGTCATTTTCTACTCAGTTTTCATCTTTTTAATATAATATTTAATTGAATCGTATAATTACAATAACATGTATCACTGACACAAATAGGTTTAAGAGCTAATATAACCAGCTCATATAAGCATACAGTTAGTTAAATAGGTATTAGTTAAGGGAGTTTTACTTCCGTGTGTGAATCCCTTGAATTTCATGGAAAATTCATTAAAACTGAGCTGTAGATATTCTGTGTAAGCAGGCAGCTGTTGGATAAGATGGAGTATCCAAGCTAAAAGTGGGAGATTCAGAGACTTCCAGCAAATGGCCTCACACTAGCAGAACTGGTACCCAAATTTTGTCCTTGTCATATCAACAGCTCTTCATCTTCAACTGTTTTCCTCCCACTCTTCCTCTAAATACCCATTCCTTTATTACACTTCACATGCATATATGGTTGGTTATCTAGTAAGATTTGAAAAAGTGGCAGTTCTGGTTCAGCTGATGCTTCTGAGTTCACTGTTTATTACTTAGTATCTAAGATCCCTAAGAAAATTCCTTGTTGCCTACTTATTTTACCTAAATTCTTTTCTATCCCTCTCCCAAAAAAATTACAGATGAGAATAGTTATATCATAGTTATTTGATGTATAAAACTTCTGGTTATATTTTTAGGAAAACAGTTTAGCAGGTTCAATAAAAATTTATTAAGCACAATATCACTATAGAGATGAATATGCTTTCTTGGACCTTACAGTCAGGTAGAGGTTATATCACATGAATTAAAATAATTGGGACACAGTATGGTATGTAAGCTTCATATATATAGTATAAACAATGACTTCTGTAGATGTTCAGAGAAGTAAGATTGTCTCTATTTAGGATAACCACTTGAATTGAGTCTTGAAAGTTGAATAGACACTTGACAGTGAAGTACCCACTCTGTGTACTAGTTTGTGTACAAAAATAATTTGATAGATACAGTAACTCCCATATAATCATGCGTGTTAGGACTGGAAGAAACCTGAGGAAAACATTGTACAACTGCTTTTAAAAAAAGAAAAAAGAAAATTCCACATAGCCCATTGTTATCATCTAAGACTATATATCCCAGGTCTCCAGACTCTGAATATAGCCATTTAGGAATTTATACTCTAATAGATAAATCTCACAAATCTATGAAAGGACATTGAGACAGCAGAGTGTTTCCATCACACATGTCTGTCAAAGATATGTGTACATTTTTAGGAATGGGAAAGTTAAAGTACATAGTGGGCAGAAAATACTCAAAGTGGTTCTGTGATCAAGCAGGGCAGAGGTAGAAGTATTTCTTGGATAGCTCCCCTTGCTTTTTGAGAAGGTCTTTATTACCTCCAGCACTGGGTTTTGTTCCTTTCCTTTGTTCTGAAAAGTATATTGAAAGAATTATAAAATTTGGTAGATTAGAAGAATGAGGCCAGTAACTGAAAACAATTATACTTGATATGTGTAAAATATTCGATGTTAAGTTAATAACAAACATTTCCTAGATTGGAAAATATTGAAGGGAAAGATGTATGGATATTACTCTATTTAGCAAAATGTATATCCCTATATCATTCATGTACCCACATAGGCAGAGAAGAAAAAAGTCAAATGAGAAACCATAGAAGAAGAATGTGGAGAGTGTTTGTAAATTGATGTGTCCATAAAGAGATGAGA